AGTCAAACGATAAAGAAGAAAAGATAGACTCAAATGTAAGCTTTACATTCTATGAAGATATGAAGACCAAGATGTTGTAGCCTTTGGTTTGGTCCCAGTCTCCTTTCGACTTATAAAAGTGGGTTGACCTCGTTGTCGCAACTTGGTCTTGTTGTCAGGGCGACTTGGTAGAAGTCACCTAGTCCGAAGTCGTCTGCCATAGTAGTTGTCATGATTCCCAGCATCAGATATTCGTCGAGCGATTGACTTCACTTGTCTCTTTGACGAGTTCGTAGCTTGGTGCGGCGAATGACATAACTCACTGATGATGCCGACTACGATGCCGGCGAAACGTCTGAGAATGTACCAAGTCCACTGTCTTATGCTGGGAATCATGAAAATTCGACTTCGGACTAAGTGCGTTCTACTAAGTCGCCCTAACAACAAGACCAAGTTGCGACAACGAGGTCAACCCACCTTACATTCTATGGCTGAGAGATGGATGGATAGGATTCGTAGATGGGTGTGCTGATGGTAGTAGTAACAATTCAAAAGTAATACTTCTTCGGTTTCTGATGAGGCCAATGTATTAATCCCATCCACAAGCCTATTTAAACGAAATTAAGAACATCACTGTAGATACGAAGAGTAACTGGGTTTCGATTAATCTCCTGAGATAACGTTGTTGGGGTGACCTGCAGTTCGTATGAAAGGGCATGAATAATAGGTTTGTAGGTTGATCTCATCGGATGATGGCTGAATCCCGTTGAACTCAGTCCACGAAATATCCTTACTCGCTTCGGATGAAGGTGGGCTGAGCTTTCGTCCACCATATGTTGGACATTATTGGAACTGAAACTCATTCTTGCAAAGGTTTAATGTTAATACTAGGTCATGAAGTTATAATTGTATACAAGAAGTATGATAGGGCCGGATAGTCTTCTTAACCTAGTGTTAATTTGAGACTTCGGCAAGAATGGGTTCCAGCTTCGATGATGTCCATCATGTGATGGACGAAAGCTCAGCCCGTTTTTCTCCGAAACGAGGAAGGAGGTCTACTGAACTGCGTCAACCTGAACGTCGTATTGAAGCCAAACGGCTGCAGTACAACAGGATTTAGCCATCATCTCTCGATGAGATCAACCTACGAACGAACCTCTTCTTTATGCGCTTTCATAGAAAATAAGACCTCCTCAACAATACAAATATCACAGAACAAAGAAAAGATATTTCTTCTTGAAATGGGCTTACGAGACTACTAATAAATCTTAAATAAGAAGTGTGTTAACCGATTTCGTGTAAGGCGAAGAAGGACTGTTTGTTGATTTTTCCTCATCTTTTCATTGTATTTCACAGCTTTGTTTCTCAAAATATATTCTCATTTGTGCTGTAGCGGACTGGCGTTTCGAACTAGCCTGAACTAGTCTATCGGCACCCCCAGCGGAACTCGAACCCGAGTTTTGGTGACGCAGCATATGGTCTAGACACTTTAACCACTACGCTAGACTGCCATGAGTGCCATTCGGTCATGGGGTAGATGTGAATTTTCAGAGAGCAGATCTTTTCTATATCACTTTATGTGGTCGGATCGTTGATAAATCAATGTTTTATTTACTATTACAATCGACTAGCTTACTTAGTTTAGTGTTTAATTGGGGTTTCGAGACTTGGTAGCAGTTAATGTATTGAAAATCTACGCTGCACCAACATACCTCGGAATAGAGTCCCGCTGGGTGTGCCGATGAGGCCGGTTCAGGCGAGGTCGAAACTGCATTTTACTCTAGCCAGAATAAGAATAACTTTTGAAAGTTAGGTTATGTGAGGTTCAATGAAAACATAAGGTCTAATAATATGACCGAACGAAAATCCAGCTACACTTTATTTGACACCCACTGGAAGTGTTGAAACCTACTAAAAATCAGCGCGTGCTTTAGCTAAAGTGTTGCAGACTTTTTTAGACGAATATCTTTGCTTTTTGTCACGATAATTGTTCTTAAAAAGACAAGCTTAAGTCGGAATAATTTGTCAATTAGTGGTTTTTTTGTTCGTTTTCACACCGGGAGTAGGCCATTGAAATTGGCCTTCCAGTGCATATCGCCACTCTCGAGACGGTTGCAGGCGATCAGGTGCACTTCTGGGATCCGGCCAAGGCGGCAATCTATCGTCATGTTCGGGACATGGGCGATCTGTTGGTCACACCGGCCGCGACTGCCTCTCACTCAGGCTCTGGCATGGAGGAAGCATGGTCACTTGAGGCCGCCTGTCTCGTTGTTCCGGTAGCGGTACCAGGCGGCAGGCTGATTGGCACACTGGGCGTGGACACTCTACAAGAAACCGATATGCCCGGACAATTCGAGGAGCATGAGATACAGTTTCTGCAGGTCAGTAAGCTTCTTAGCCCATCCTTTCTAGCTCTTTGCCAGACATTCTGTCTATCCATCCACACCACACACATTTTTTCTTCAATTATTCTATACTACTTACTTTTGAAGCTACAAGCTGAAGGATTCAAATATTGGGTGCTTTGTTACTGTGTTTGGTTGGAAAGTTATCCACATCAACGCATTTCAAGTATAGCTCGCAATGATGGTGTTGAAACTATTGGATAGTTCTGCTTGGTGCCTAAGGCACCGATGGTTGGTCGGCTCATGATGAAGGGGCCCCGGGTAGGAGAAGAGTTGAGGCCCATTCTGGAAAAGAACCGACTTTACGAATACATGGCACAGCACAATTCTGCGATAGCACCAACCTTTGCATGATTTCATCATGAAAGGATATAAAAATTATAATCTGGTGTCGTGTACCTATATCAAAATGGATTGTGACTCTTGAGTCTAGAAGGATGCAGCCATTTAATTGAAGATATGAAGACCAAGCTGTTGTGGCCTCTGGTATGGTCGCAGTCTCCTTTCGATTGATAGAAGTGGGTTGACCTTGTTGTCGCAACTTGGTCTTGTTTTCAGG